GTGTGTGTGTGGTTGTGTGTATATGTTTAACATTTGCATTACATTGCGTGAAATGCAAAAGCACCTTGAATGTCATTTGTGAAAAGACCGTAAAATGAGTAACGATCTGCATCTTGTCTGTTCTCTCCTGCTCCAGAGAGCATATCAATATGCTGCCTTGCTAAGATTCCCTGCGCTACAACTGAAATCGGCAGAAACCAGTTAGCAGGGCACATATCCATGGTTCTTTTGCATTGTCTCTGCTTCCCTACTTTTGCAGCAAGGAGGGAGCGGAGGGGCGTGGGTGGGATGATGATCCCGCAGGCTAAGTTAGCCCAAGCGCCTGAGATTACTGTGATAGGCGCCAGGCTTGTGGCTGCTGTGTGAGATTGAGACTTTAATCACAGACTTGTCAAGCAACTCAAAGAGATGGTTCCCGTGGTGATGCTAACTCTGCCTGGTGTGTCCCAAAATGTCCGGGTGTCTCGATTGGGCTCCATGTGCCACTGAGCTATGGCTGTTCTGGGAACCATATCATTGAATATCTCAGCTTGGTTATGTCCAGAATCCTGGCTGTAAATGCTGGATTAATGGGGTTTTATTGTTTTGTTTCTGTTTCTGTTGTGTTTTGTTTTGTTTGAAGGCAGAGGGAGGCATGACTGATGAGAAATGTACACACATTGGGCATAGAGCCACAAATGCAAAATTGGCAGAAGATATTGCTTGTGCATGGGCCCTGTAAATGCTTGTAAGACATGTGCACAAGGTGAGTGCTGGCTGAGTCCCTGTGCTCCTATCTTCTGCCCCAGAAGGCAAGGAATTTACTTACTCTGGATCAGTAAAATTTCCTCCTACCTTCTGGGATGCCATCTCCACCTCGGTGAATTCCACAGCTGGGCTTCCGTGTGCAATCCTGGTGCCTTGAGCTGCAATGTAGCAGCTGCTGAGCAATTCTCCCATGGCACGCACTGCCTTGTTTTCTCATGCTCTGCTCTATCCAGCTCTTTTTCTCTTCCTGTTTGCTGTTCTCTTCTTCACTTTCCCACCCACCCCTCAAACCCTTCCTTTCCATAGGAGAGAAAGAAGTAGAAACACCTGGCTGGAGAGGCAGCCTGAAAACAGTTGGATGCTAAAGCATTGAGACTGCACTGTGTCACATCCAAGCAGCCATGTGGCGCAGGTGTTGGAGCATCAGAAATGAGTTGGGCCTAAGAAGGCCAGAGAGATTTTCTGTTGACTATGTGAATGAGTTATACTGAATCCCTTCCAAGGGAGCTCTTCCATTGAGCCAGCACTACAAATATCATCAGAAAGGTGGTATGAGTAAGTATGTAATGGGGCATGGGGAAGGAGGAGGGAATTGGGCTCTTGGAAGAGGTTTCGAAATTTGCTGCTGAACAGGATGAGGAGCCAGCTGCCCCAGGGCCCACTTCTGATATGGTTCAAACAGAATATGCAACTCTTTGAACACCCTCCTGCACTTGATGATTTTGTTACTTTCCAGCTGTATTATAATAGACCACTGTATTCCCCTCCCCTCCCTGAACATGTAGGTGGTTGAATCAAATTGCTGGCAATGAAATTATTTTCCAGACTTCTCTGAACTTCATAGTCCTGTCCTCTTTCATTCGTTGCTCTTTGCTAGGCTGATGTTGAGAGAAGGAAGAGGGAGCTAAGGAGGGATCTGCCCCCACCCTGCTCCCCGCTACCTATTTATCCACCCTGCCATCTCCCTGATGGAAAGCCCTCTTGTACTGCCAGCTCTCCCTTCTCCTGCTGGTGACTCAGCAGGAGCATAAAAGATTAATGTTTCTTGTACGTAGATTCCCTTTCTCCTCCAGGGTCTCCCCGGTCAAGCCCAACATTGCTTGGTTTATGAGTTCTGACAGGAGAGCATCCTGGAGTGGGTGGCTGTGGGCAGATGACCAAGGTCAGAGGCTGGTGCGGGGACTGTTTCTAGTCCAGCTTTAAATCTCCCCACACTACCTTATTTTCACTCCCCACCCTCATTCTAAATACACAGAAATTGCCTTGGAACAAACAGAGATCCAGGGTTGGCAGACCAGCACTGTACAGGCAAGCAAGACCACTGCTCCGGCCCTTGCTCTGTGCAGCCCCTGTCATCAGGCATGCATCCTGGCCTGCTCCATGCCACTGCAGTATCATTACAGGGGTTTATGGTGCCATTAGCTTTAAAGTTTTATAAAGCGGTTGTGCCCAGGTGAAATAGATCACAGAGGGAGTGTTCTTGCAGAAAGAGGGAGCTAGATTGCCCTGAAGATCAGAGAGTGAGTCTTTTGGTATCAGGTGAATTAAACTTGTGCCATGCTGGACTGTTTGGGTAAAGGATAGATGGCACTAAAGAAATGGCTTTTTGCTGAGGCCCATAATTTCCCATGTAATTTTTTCTGTTGTTTTAATATGCATATGCATCATATCACCAACTTAACCAGCTTTTAAAAGGCTGTTAAGACAGATCTCTTCCGGCAGGCCTTTCCTGAATAGATATCCCAGTCTCAAGAGTCAGCTCATCTCCCTCCTGCAACTTTTGTTCCAGTTACTGCCGTTATTGTCTATGTTCTTCCCATGTATGTTTTTAGTATGTTTTTAATAGTCTTATTGTTTAATATTATTTTAAGAGGTGGGTGGGTTTTTTGGGAGTTATATTGTACTATTATTATATTTTAATGTTATCAGCCACCCGCAGAGGGGCGGGATAAAAATAAATTTTATATTATTATTATTATTATTATTATTATTATTATTACATTCATAATCAGAAGCATATTATGGAGCCTTATGTGTGTGCCAGAAGCATGTTTCCAAAACTGTGGGGTGCATATGGCTGTACCATATTATCACTGGCTGACGGGTGAGTGCATGCTTACTATTTGCAATTCCTTTCTCTATGGCAGTGCAGACTTTGTTTACAAAATATTTTTTCATGTTTATTTTCTGAAATTGAGCTGGTTGCGGTTTTATCATGCATTGGCATTGCTTGCCCACAGAAGGCATACCATATCCAAACTGCTGCAGTCCCTACCTTCTTCTCTATCACCTCTGTATTTCTAGGACCCAATTTTTTTTCCATATTCTATCATTTTTTTATTTTTTTATTTTTCTCCCCTCTCCCCAACTTTCTCTATTTCACTAGTACAATTTTCCAACATTTGCTCATAGCATTTTTAATAAACTTTGACTGATTTTTTTCTCCAAAACTACAAAAAGTGACATGGTAGTATACTTATACATACATTCCTGGAAACAGCTTTTTTCCCTCTCACTAATTCCCTCTTCATAGAATCATAGAGCAGGAAAGAATCCCAAGTGTCACCTAGTCCAGTCCATCTACATCTTTGTACCTTGGAAAGTGGTAGACTCTCATTCAAGCCAGAATACACTATCAAGGCCAGAATACACTATCAAGGCACCACCAAGGCAAATGCCTAAAAGTAGGGATTTAAACTATTTTAAAAATGCCATTGAATGAGAGTCTACCACTTTCCAAGGTACAAAGATGTAGATGGGGGGGGGGAATGAGGGAACCCCCCCCATAAGAACTACCTCCCAGTTAAATTTTCCTTCAGTCCCCAAATTTCTACCATTTCAGAGAGTGAGACACTGAAAATCCTTCACGCCTAAAATCTTTATATTTGCTGTGTTCACATTCCCTTGGCATCTTTGCCTGCCTCTTATCTTTGGACGCCAAATGTTAAATGCTCAACTGAAGGTTTAAGTTATTGCAGTTCTTGTAATTTGGGGACTGAAGGGAAATTTCATATGGGGGGAGAATTCTTACTTAGGGGACAACGGCCTCATTTTGCCTCCCTCCCAGTTACTGTACCCCATTAAGCAACTCTTACCATCAGGAGTTTCTTCCTAATGTTTAGTTGGAATCTCCTTTCTTGTAATTTGAATCTGTTAGTTGAGGTCCTGCCTTTTGGAGCGTCAGAAAACAAGCTTGCTCCATCTCCCATATGACAGTTTTTCAGATCTTTATGTCTGTTGCCTCTCAGTCTTCTCTGGGCTAAACACACCCTGTTCCTTATAGGATGTATGCCATCCTAGTCACCCTCTTCTGAACACATTCCAGATTGCCAGTGTCCTGCTTAAACTGTGGTGGCCAGAACTGGGCAGAGTATTCCTTGTGAGATCTGGCCAAAGATTGGTGCTACTACATCCCTTGATCTGGAATCTATAGTTTTGCTGATTCAGCCTAGAATTGCATTTGTGGGGTTTTTTGTTGTTGTTTGTTTTAGCTGTTGCGTCACACCATTGACTTATGTTAAACTTGTAATCTACCAAGACCCCCTTACATTCTTTTCTCATGTACTGCTGTCAAGTGAGGTGTCACCCATCATATATTTGTGCATCTAATTTTCCAGCTCAAATGTAATAACTTACAT